GCAACTTTATCAAAATTTTATGTAGGACTCTTTTATGTTTGAAGGAACATTAAATATTACTGTCAGATTTTTACCAAGTTATACAAAACAAAAGTATTGAATTACAATTTAAAATAAGAAGTAGATTTTTAAAAATATTTAATTGCATATTAAAAAATTCTGGCTACAATAACTTTAATGTGCACCTATGTATTAAACAATTAATGTACAACAAATATCTAATTGTTAAGATATAAAACTTTAAAAAATTTGGTATTAAAACTTACATAGTAGCACACAAAATGTTTAATGAGAAAATTGAGGTTTGTCTGCTGCAACCACCAGGGAATAGATATTTACATTTTAAATTTAAAATTTACAAATGTGTGTAAATATTTTCATCCAAAATGAGTGGTTTCAAAAAGTTCAATCAGAGAATTTCTTTGAGAAAATTTCTGATACACACATGCTAAATTATATTCACAAAATACAAAAAAAAATGAAATAAAAAAGAGCAACACACACGATTAATTTTGTATTTGAAAAATATTTTCTTGGATGCAAAACCTGAGAAAAAATTTTTTTTGCGCCGTTGGTATGTTGAATTTCACAGAAATGAAGAAATTAGGTATTTATTAATGAGAAAAGTATTTTAAACCCATACAGATTTTTTATGAAAATTGTCTGCAAAAAAATGACAGCTAATATATTTTACACACATTAGAAGTGATACATAACTAAGTTGTGTTATTTAAAATATGTCAATTGAAATTATTAAAAATGTGAGTGATTTTGTTTCCATTATTCGTCCGAAATGCATATTCTGCATTCAGCACTATAGGTTAAATACCAAATATTTGTATGTTGCATCTCTAGTTTAGTAGCAGCAATAGCTGTTTATTTTTGAAAATGTAATTTTTTTAATTATAATTTTACAGTGTTGAACATAATCTTGAATCTATTTACAATTTGAAAACTCCTTGAAAAGTTTTTTGCAATAACAGGACCCTATTTGCACAAATTCGCAAAAGCAGGACCCTGGTTGAAATAATGTGACTTACGGCTTATTTTATATTCATAAATTACAAGTAATTTTTTCACAATTTTACAAAAACAGGACCTTTTACAAAACGTCTGGGCAGACCCCTGTGTATATGCAGGGCTGCCATTGGAGACTAAAAAGGCGACTAAAACGACTATTTTAAAGCAATAGCAACTATGGCGACTATCTTAGTAGAAATATGAGTAAAAACAACTAATTTGCAATGATTTGCTTAAAATCGACGACTTTTTTTAAGCCAAAGCGACTAAAATGAAGAATAGCTTCATGAGTTTCCCCCTTCCCCCACTTTTTTTGCCGCGCTTTCGTTTTATCCTAAATTTATTATTTCTCACTGTTTGATGTCAAAGCATGACAGACATATTTAACCAATCAGACTGATGGAATTAGAATTCACTCTACGTGAATGCTCCTCCTGCTTCAGAAAGCTAATGTAATATCTCTGAGGATTAAGTTTTTTCCCTTCTTTTAATTTGAACGAAGTAGCAAAATTAGAAAAATTTTCTTTAATTACACAAAATGCGTCGTTAATTTTTTTTAGAGCTATTTAGAATAGAAAAAAAGGTACATGGTGATATTCGTTTTGTCGAGTTGTGATCGTAATTTTTTTGATAAGCATTAAAATTTGGAAATGTGTCAGTTATGAAAAATAAAACGGAATTAAAAATTGCAATATTTATTATTATTTTCTTTTTAATGTCTAAACTAAGCAGCTGCAAATTAGAACCGAGAAAGGAAATTCCAAGTTTCCAATTCAACTGTTCTGTAACAGATAAAAATAAAACTCCCTGTTTTTATGCGTAGTGTGAAAGAATATATTGTTGGAAAATCCACAAATAAATGAACATTTTTAATAAAATATGAGTATCTAAATGCATGTTATCTGAATTTTATACTATTACAGCACAAATAATTAAAATTATATTAGAGGAGGATATGATGTTAGCAACTATTTTATATATCTTTGAGACTATTTAGGAGACTTTTTTTCATATATGATGCAACTAAAGCAACTATTTTTCTCGTTTTCATCCAGTGGCAGCCCTGTATATGTATATATATTTCACTTAAAACAATGAATTATTTTTTTCCTTAAAATAATAATCAGGTAATTTACTCAATGATTTTTTTTCTTAAAATCAAGTGATTTTTATTGCAATTTACAATCATACCATCACACTTTGAGTAATTGACTCCTAGTTTGATTTCAATTGTAACATTAGAAAAAAGAAGACAGCCACCTAATGTGTTCAGTTTATTTTTTATTCAGAACTCTCTTTTTGAATTAATTAATTAAAAATAATCTTTTAACTATCTTTGATGAATTAACTGCCTATTAATATTCAAAATTTTGAGTAAACATTATACATAGCATTTCAAGCATGCTTAATATCAATAAAACCTGATAATATTGCAGTTTTTCTATTTTCATGTCTATAAAAATCTCTATAATTCCCTATGTGTAAAATATTTAGTACATTATGCAATTATTATCATGAAATTTATTTTATTTTGTAAAATATACTGGATTTTTACTTATCCATGTTGGCAACTATGTGAAAGGTGTTCTAAGGAACGATTACAGGTGTTACGAGAGTTAGGTTTTTTTTTTTAACCTAGTAATAGTTATATTTCTATCCAATCAATAATTCATAATCTGTTAAATATTTCAGTTGTTTATATAAACTTTTCATGTCAAATACCAATGAAAAATAAATAGCAACATTTAAAAAAAGTTATTCATTTTTTTCAATAATAGATTGAAAAGATCATGAAAAGTGTATGCATGTATAAAATATTTAGTATATATTTCATGAAGCTTTTTAATTCAAAATAAGGTAACTAAATTCAAGAATGAAGAATTACGTTTAACTTATAACAATTCTCCACGAATAACAATTTTCAACAAATTCATTATATTAAATATTTGATTCTTCACATTAAATGTTTTCAAAGTAATAAGTAGTATTTCTTTCTTCATCTGTTTTGGCTAGAATATACACAATTGCTATTGAATTTTATTTATTTCATAATGTTCCAAAAAAAAAAAAAAAATTGAGGACCACTGCTGTAGACATTCACATTTAATTTAAAGTTAATGTATTTCTCAAATAATTTTAGTTACATCATGTTTTTAAAAAACAAGTTGGTATTGAAAAATAAATTGATTAAAAATTACTGCTAGTAATTAAACTAGATTAAGGTTCAATTATAAAGTGTTAAATTTGTTTTATATTTTTCAAAAAGAGTTTCTTCCTTTCTTACACTTGTGTGGAAAGCAATGTTTTTCTTCTGGGCTTGCTTTTTCCACTATGGAAGAAACCTGATATAAATTTATCTATTTTTATGTTTTGTTCTGTACTTGTGCAAAATCTTGTCAATCAACCAAAAACGAAAATTGGAACCCTCATGTATAAAAATTTTTGCAAATTATTTTATTTTTGTTTTAATTTCCATTAAATATGATCTGGTTACAATATGAAGTGATTTGGTGGAATTTGCGCCAACCTTTCTGATTGACACTATTTTACAGGAGTTCCTGTTTCAATTCCTGATTTCATTGTCTTAAATTCTATTTCAGTACAAAAGGTGAAGCTGTTGGAAATAAGGCTGACCACACTCTAAACAAATGTAAAGTCACATCATCCGGATGGCTGATATTACCCACCGTCTGTAGAGACCAGATTCCCACCGAGAACTCGCCACCTGACTACACGTTTCACTGCAATGTTCTGAATAATATTGAGGTAGATGATGACGGGTGTGATGCAGACATGCCCTGTTCCACCCCGGATGAAGGTGTTCATATGGGTTCTCAGTCCATCTCCGAAGTGCCCAGCGCTGAAGGTACACCAGAAATCACACTTTCTCAACAAACAGATGAAGGTTTGGGATCAATGCAATCTACTCCCCAAGAAATGGGCTCTCAGTCAGATTCACAACCAATGGAAGGTGTGGAAACCCCAGGTATTTATAATGTCAAAGAAATTCATGATTTTTTTTCTTGAACTTTTTTTAAAATTTATTTGATTTAAATTATTCATTTAAAGCTCTGATATAGCCTGGTCAGTATGGCGCTGGGCCCACGTCTGAGAGTTCATGGGTTCAAACCCCGCCGGCCAAAGACTCCCGTGTTGTAAAATGGCGACTGATGCACATTAAATCTGTCAAGTCTCAAAGTCCTCCATGTTCCCATAACAAATCAAAACCTCTGGGGGTACTGAATTAGAGATTGATCGTTCTCTGATTCAGGTCAAAATTACGATCTGTGGATGAACGAATGGGTCCGCCCTATAAACGGGCATAACATAATGGGTGTGGCAGAAGTCGAATTCTTGGCCAAAGATGGCGCAAGGTTAACTCAGCCTTTCATCCCTTTAATGGATCGATAAATGAGTACCAAGCATGCTTGGGAACTAAACACTGGGGGTTTCGCGTTCTGCTGACCTCCTTAACGGATCATCTGCTGCTGCACCCCAGAGCCCATGGTCAAGAAAACTGAGATGGGCACAGTAGGCCTTGACGCTCTGTGGGCTGTCGCGCCGCTGTGTTTACTTTAGTTTTAATTGTTCTAAAAGATACATTAAGAACTTTTAATTAGTTAATTTTATAAATCTCCGAAATATATGTTTTCATTATATTAGCGTGATACAGATTTCTGTCTGAAATTATTTAAATGTTCAAAATTACTAGGTTATTGTTTTTTATGCTTATAATTCCAATTTTTGCTAAATATTGCATTTTACAAAACTAAAATAAGTAAAATACAGTAGGGAACCGATTATCCGGAACGATCGGGACCATCGCTATTCTGGATAACTGATTTTTCCGGTTTTCTGAATCGCTACAAAAAGCCGTTTTTTGTAAACATCTTTAAAAAAAGAACGAAAAATCCTGAAATCTTATTTTTTTAAAAAAATGGTGGAAAAATTTATTGAATTTCGTTCCAGTTTTCTGATTTCCGGATAATGGGTTCTGTACTGTATTAATAAAATTTTGTGTTTAAAATTTGCTTTATTTTTTTAACTGCATTAATTCCAAATTGAGATATTGTATTTATAGAAATAATATAAAATAATGTATGTTTTTTTTGTTGCAATTAACGCACATTTTTTAAATATTTTTTACCCATTTAGCTTTCGGTATATGGCTAACAATGCTGGAGCATGTTATATGATAATGTTATTTTCAATAACTGCCGTAACAAATCATAATCTATTAATATGTTTGCACCGACTTTCCACATTTAAAATATTCATTATTTTAAGGAATGAAATAATCAAACTTTGTTTTTCTAGATAATGCTGGAGAAATCCCTATTGATGAAATTGTTAATGATCTTGATGTACCATCAACATCTCTCAGGCGCTCTACACGGCATGCTTTAAAACCCCAAGATGAGGCCACTAAAGAAAATCAATCACCACTCACAGAAGAAGGAAATACCCCTGTAAGTGGATTCTGTGGGCCGGACATAAATGATTTTTTTGGCAATGCAATTTCTACACAATATATTATATATTCTGTATTCTATGCAATTTCTACGCAATTTTGCCTGTTACTATAGGAATTATAATCCCTTCCATGGAAAAGTCTGATTTTGGTAGTTTTCTTCTGCAGTTTATCATTTTTTTTCTGCCATGGTTTTTTGAATTTTAATAAATTTCATGAAATATTATAACAGAGCAAGATTTTTGAATATTAACTATTGCTTTTTATTGCGCCTTGTAAATTTTTTTTTCGCTTTTTAACTATAAATCCACGTTTTCTCATTGTTTGTCGGAAGTTATTTCCTGTTTTTTAAGTCATTTTTTCAAAGTATATTAAATTACGATATAAATCATACGACGCTAGATTTACGTATGCAAGTTATCACTTTTTGAAGCGAAAATTCCATCGTAAATTGCTCGAGAATTCCATCTTAATTTGAGTAATTGCTTTTCAGAGTGTCTTATTCGAGGTGATTTCATCATGAATCCAAGTCGTTTCCAATTTAGTTTTCGCTCATTTCTATGTGTTTTTTTTTTTTTAATTTTTTTTATTTTTTAATTTCAGATTTAAGTAATCATGCTGATTAACACATTTGATTCGGGCTAATTCCATCATAAATCAACGTTGTTTCCCATTCATTTATTGGCAACTATTAATCCTTATTTTCAATCATTTTTACATTATCTTTTGATTTCCAGATTTTTTATACGATGTTATTATGTACTTAAATTTCAAGCTTGTATAATCACACAGTTCTGTCACGAATTCACGTTGTTTTCTGTCTATTTCTTGGCAAATATGTCATTTTTTTGTTTGCTCAACAGATTATTTATTATTTTACATCAGTTATAACAGTTATTTGTCCACTACTCATTTTCACATATTTTTTAAAATCTCAATATTTTTATTATATTACGTGAATCACAAAACCTACATTTAATTAACACCTTTTTTGAAATGTCATGTGATTTCATTGTAAATACTTTGATTTTATCATTAATATTTTTTCAGTTATTACCGTTGATTTCATTTTTTAAAATCTTTTTTTTAATGTTTTAAAAAAAATATGATTATGACTTGCTATGGAAAAAGGGATGAATATGTAATTTTTTCAATTTGTATATTTATTTATGTATGCATAAAAATGACAGTGGCTATTTATCTTTCTTCAAAAAGATTAAAAGAGAATGAGAAAAAAACAAAAAACAAATTAAGATAATTTCTTCTTCCAGCAATCACATGCCTGTGTTATCAGCCATTTTCACCTGTTTTTTTTTGAAATTTTTAAATACATTATTATTAGGAGACGCAGCATTTTCAAGATGCAAAAAACAACTCATTTTTAATTTTCATCGGGAATTATTTCATAATTTCTTAAATTTGCTAATATATATTTTGTTGTAAAACTACTGAAGGAGCTCATTAGAAATTTTCAATGTTACTAATAAAGACTCTAACCAGAGGTTGGAGTTTCTGAAAACTGCTCACTCACTACAACTGACCAAAACGAAACCAAAAATGTTCATCAATATACAAAACAATGTAATAACTATAATAGAGGTGTGTATAATATGTTTATATATATTTAAATACACATAATGTGTATAATTATTGATATTTGTTTAAATTTTATTTTGGAGCAGATCTAAATGATTTAGTGCCTTTTCATCTTTATCTTGTTAACTGAAAAGTACCAAAGTCGTCTATGTCTTGTTACTGAAAAGTATTCTTGTAAAAAAAAAAAATTTTTTTTTTTTGAAGACACACATTTTTGATTTGAAACTTAGGTTATTGGGATTCTACTGTAATAATGAATTGGTTGTGATGAATTAAGCTACTTTCTTGTGTAAAATCTGTCAGAGCAGCAACAATTTTACTGCTGTTAGAATACTGTTTTTTTTTTTTTTTTTTTTTTTTTTTTTTTTNTTTTTTTTTTCTTTTTTTTCTTTTTTAATTTTGCAAAAGTTTATAAATGAAGCTTTTAGAAAGAGTGCCATTATCCATGTAGTGTTTTTATCAGGAAGAGGAAGTTGAAAACTTCTTTTTTATTCTAACTAACAACAATTTTTAACTAATCAATTTTTGACCCTAATTAGCTTTAATTTTTATTCATTATTAATATTTTTAATATTTCTTGAGCTTAGCATGTTTATTTATTTAAAAAGATGTAAATCTAAAAAAGAATTGAAAAAATTTCAAAATCAGAAATTTTGTTGTATACATGAAAGAAGTGTATAACAAAATGAATGTCTAAGTTTTGATAGCCTGTCAAGTCTGGTATTAGTTTACTTCCATTGTTATAGACAATTACCCTTGACTTGATGGCATAAAACATTCCATGTAGGAGAAATATATAAAAAGCTTTTATCTTCCTCCATCACTATATAATACTCTACTAATTTTCTCGAGACTATCCTCGTATTTTGCTACTACTTGAGGATTTTCCATATTAATGCTATTTTCTCCCATTTTTGTTAGATAATTTTTGTGAGTTTTCTTAAAAATGTTTCTTAAAAAAGTGCAGGAAGTACCGAAACTATTTATTACCAATTTTATATCTGCGAATAAATGCTGGTATCCTGAAAATTGCTGCCATTATTAAATCAGCATCCTTAAATTTGGAGGCAATTTAGTCCTTAATTTTTATATTCTCTACTTCCAGCTTGCTTTTGCTTTTTATTATAATTGTTATTTTACTGGGAAAAGTTTAAGGTGGCCAAAATAAACGTAAGCAATCAATGTTTGAATGGTACTACAATTTTAATATCAAAATTGATCAGATTGCTGTTTGTTTCACTAAATTATTTTCTCCTTTAATTGTAGGAAGGAAAAGAAGAAGAAATTGTAGTTGTCAAAAAAGCTATACAGAAGAAGAATACATGTGCTCTTCCATCAAAATTAAAGTCAAATTGCGATAAGAAAATCGAAACTATAGCTCAGTTTTGTGCAAGAACGTGTAAGTTTAAACATGATAATTAGTTTCATATTTTTAATGCAATTCTTTTAAATTAAATTTTTGCTTTTGTAGTGCAGTGGGTTCTTTTAACCCAGGGCTAAAGAGTGAATAGAAGGGCTAAGTCACTTCTTTGAAGTGATTTTCTTTTCCTCTTCATCACACATTTTTTATTTTGAGGTGATTTTCTTTTTCCCTTATTATAAAAATTTAACAGCAGTAGCCAAATATCAGCTTGTGTGATAACAACCGGTAAGAATGATTATAAAACACAAAATGAGAATATGTAATTTTCTGTGTTTTACTTCAGAAAATATAAAGTTGACTTAAAATGAAATATAAAATGTACTAGAATAATTTATCCTGCTGTGAATAAAGAAGCATTATGTTTTTCGATCCGACGTTTAAGAACTTTTATTAGAATTCTTCCATTGAAATAAATATAGTCTCATAACTTTAAACAGAAAAAAAAAATGTATAAGATTAAAGGAAATAAAATTCTGAACTTCAAAAATAAAAGTTATTAATGCTTAAAAATTCTTCAAATTTCATAATGTTAAATTTTAATGTCATTATTACTATATGTATGTATGTGTGTGTGTGTGTATATATATATATATATATATANTATATATGGTTCCAGCTATGTCGATCATTTGTATATATGTATTTTATATATATATATATATATATATATGAAAATTAGGCATCCCAATTTATAAACTTGTTATCAAATAATATGTAGCTATAAAATTGTCCTTAGATGCTTTCTTTTATTTAACAGCAAAAGTTAAAAATTAAAACTAGAAAACTGATAAGAAATGACTGATGATAACCAATAAGAAATTTATTTTAACTTTAAAATGTTATTTTTTTTAATACTATAAGTAAATGTGCAAATACTGTATTTTTGAACAGAAAAGTGTCGAACATTCAACTTATTTCTTACGGAAAGAATAAACAGCAAAATTTTCATATCCTTCAGTTGTGATTTTTGAAATCATGAGGTGGGGGGGAGGGATCGTAGCTTCAACTTTAAGTAAGGAATTAACTTCTCTTTAGCCCTGCTTTGAACCTTTGTTCTGAGTACCTTCTCGCTCGGACGTAATTCAACGTTCAACGATATTTATGGCAAAGCTAACCTTAAAGCAATGAAAACCAATCTCATTATATTATAAAATTTTCAAGTCATCATAATTTGTGCATTAATTTCTAGAATAGTTCACAACTGAGTTAACTAGAGTCATTTTAGGATAATTTTTATTTCTTTTAGTATGAATTTTAATGGTTTAAACTTATTGAAAACGAAAGCTTTATCATACAGGGGTGATTAAATTCCGATTTTTTTTTTAAGAGTCATCTCTCCAGGTCTAGAAACTAGGAGCAGGACATGTGACTTTTTCATAGAATTCTGTGTGTCTCTAGACCATTGATTTGCATACTTCTGTGAATCAAAACTTGTAATCCCACAAAATATTTACCGTCATCTAAAATTTAAAGTAAGAATTAAATCCAATATCCCGATTCATATTCACGCGATTTTAAAATTCAACATTGCGATTCTTCTCTGAGCTAAGTTTTTCCTTAAATCACTTGCTGTAAAAGGGATTCTTTATTTTTAGGTAATTTAATTATAAATCTGAGTTCAAAAGATTATATTAAATGTAAGCAGTATTGCAAATTGATGTCTTGTTATTGAATTTTCATACTTAAAATTTTCATTTTTTTTCACTTTGTGACAGAATCCCCCCTGATCATAAACGAAATTGAAATGTTCATTTTTTGTCACTATTCTTTTATTTTTAATATATTATTCAAAATTTTTTGTTTTCTTTACTAAGTTGTAACTATTTGAATTTAAATTAATGTTTTTTTCACCTATTAGTTTTCACTGCTGATCCTAAAATTATCAAAAATGGGTTGATGAGTTTAGAAACTGAGGCTTTTAGAAATAATTCTAGTTTCTTAAGAAGGCTTCAAGCACGAGCTGAGGCTATCAGAATTGCTACACGAAAATCTAAGGTATGTTTTTATCTGTTTCATTCTCACAATATTTGAAAGCTTCTGTTTTTTACCTTATTTCAATTGTAAAATTCAGTTTTTGATATACATTTTCAGGTTACTGTTTATTTAAAAAAATTTTAATTGCACCTAATAACTTATAGCTTTTTGTTGTTTAGATTTTCTTGGTGTGTAAGTTGTTCCCATATTTTTATTACGAGATAGTAAAAATTTTTTTTTTCTGTTATGTCGGAAAAGTAAGTCAAGCGCTGAAAAAAATCCAAAAATGAAAATTTTTAAAATTAAATACATGTATGCTAATGTTAATGAATCCAACGTAGTTGTTCTAGAATCTTGAAATTTGTAGTTTTGTGTTATGTTTTGAAAGTTATCATTGTGTTATATTTTTTAAAATACTCCTCTATAAATTTTCTTAACTTTTCGTATTCTCATTTTTTTTCTAAAAGTAATTTAAAAGCATTGTTTCAAAAAGAAGAAAAAAAACTTTGTATGTAAGAAAAATATGAGAGAAAATGAAAAAAAAAAACTATATATAACATATTAAAAATAGTTTTTGAAAGGGGTAAATTGATAGAGCTCATATTTATCTCATTCTTTATAATACAACAATATTTTCCGATCAACAAATGTATGACGTTATTACTGGTGTGTAAGTCGACTCTGCACTTTTTGTAAAATTTTGGGGTTTGAAAAGTCGACTTATACACTGAGATGTACAGTTAATGGTAATTAAATGTTTATTGAAGATAAGCAAAAATTAGCTTAAGTGCTTACAAACAGAAAGTTTTTAATTAAAATTTCTAATCAATTAAACATTATTTAAATAAAAAAAGTAGAAATTTTTAAAATATAATAAATTATCTGTATACCTTTGTAAAAAACTATTATTTGTAAGACAAATCTATCTTTTGAAATGAATGAAGTTCATCATTTTCAAAATTGTATTAGTTATGCTGATATTATCAAACATTATTTAAATAAAAAAAAACATGTTGTTGAAATTGTTATATAGGATTAAAATTATCGCATGAATTTGGTAAAAATTAATTTTTTTGTAAAAAGAGATTATATTAAAATAACTGAAATTTTTGATATGTTCAAAATTACCTATACTTCACAGTTTTACTTTATTTAAATAATGCAAATTCAAAATAATTGAAATTGTTAAATAGTAATAAAAAATTGCTATAATTTTGCTAAAAACTTAATTATTTGAAAGAAAAATTTCATTTCTTATTGAAAACAATTGAAGTTCATAGTGTGTTACTACGTTGTCATAAAACTGCATGTGCTTTTAAAGATTAATCACAGGTCTTAGGAAAAATTTTCAATTTCCTAATTTTAGGCCAAAAACATGTTTTTATGGATTTTTATTTTTGGAATAATCAATAAAATAAATCAAAAAATCTTATTGCCAATCAATACTAGCATATTATTAGCATATTTATTACTAGCTTATCAAATGTATAATTTATTACTAGTCATTTTGTACAAATTTTAAATGATAAAATAATTAAAGTTAACTAAGTTTAAAAAGCTAACTAATAACTTATTTCTCTTTCTACAACTGAGACAGTGGATGTTTTACTGTGAATTTTTTTCAAAAAATTGTTTTTGTTCTTTTAGTTTTTTTTTAATTATTAAATTAATTTTATTAATCCTTTTACCAGCTTTTTTATTATAGTGCAAAATTTTTTAAAGAGCATTTCTAATGCTATTTTATCATCACTTTTTTTCTAAAAATGCGTCAGTCTGAAGAGATTTATTTGAGATATTTAGCATTAAATTTTTCTTTCAAAAATTAATGGTTCTTGTTTTGTTTCCTACTAGCTTTTTCTGTTTTTAAAAAACATTGAATATTCAGTATTTGACCCATTTTTTTGTTGAATAATGAGCATTCGGATATTTGTAATTCCCCTGTTTACAACTAGAGCAGCCTCTGCTAAAAAACCTATTTGTTGCACAAGTATGAGGTAAAAGAGAAATGAAAGCCCTTGTAGCTTTTTCATGTCGGACAAGATACTAGCAACTTCGATATAATCAAAGTTTTATTAACTTTACATTGTAACTTTTCTTCTGAATAGCAACACAATACTAGAAAAAGTTGAAACTGACCAAGTTCTTCCTCTTGACAACACATGTTTTTGACCACAAAAAAAATTGAATTTTTTATTTGAACCTTCTAAACGGCATGAGCCAGAGAATCATTTAAGATCTCATCTCAGAGACACGGGGACATCGTAAGAAGGCTGTTTGTCCCATAGTGTGTTTCAAGATGGAAGAGCTGGTCACTCTCGGTCTTAGACTTGCATCACCCCTCTTCTCATTTCATGGCGTCCTGCTTGAACTTTTCTTACCACTGCTGTAGTTTGTACTTTATAAAATTCCTCTATTCTTTTGCATTTTGAAGTCTTCTGCAAAAAGCATAAAATTCAGCATCTGCTGCACTCTCTTCATAAATCCATGTTTGTTTGTGATCTCAATATAGTCTGATAGACATAGTAAAAATTCAGCTTTATCAAACACGTAGTAAAATATAAAGTCCTTACATTAAATTTAAATTGAATCATATATGGTGATACAAGAGAAATGGAATAAACTCTTGTACAGTTCAGCCTGTAATCAAGTAATGGGAAACAAGTTCTTTACTTTTTATTCTTTCGATTTTTCTTCTTAATTTTTATTAATGATGATTTAAAAAGAAGTCTATTTTATTTGTTTTTATTTATTTTGTTGCATTTATTTGTTTTTTTCCTTATAAAAATGAAAATAAAAATGAGACAAAAGTCAATCTACAGTGATGTTGGAAATAGGATCGATAATTGCATCGAATCATCCTAATCTATGCTGATTGTTTATCTCTAGTTGTCACAAGATGGCGTCATAAACAAGGTGGTAACAAACCATGCTCGCGAGACAATGCTTTCCTCATACGAGAAGCCAATTAATACTCAACTTTTTATCTACTTGTACGATAATTTATGCAAGATGCTCAGTAGTTTGTAATGGGTCGATGACGCTGAATCTCGATGTTTAAAGACCGAGACTCGACCACAATATTTGCTCTTTCTTTTATTGTTTTTGAAAACTACTGATATGTAAGATTCTTCTGGAAGTGGAAGCTCTGGCACGGGTCTTGGTTATGTGTAGCTATTAATATCAGTATGTTAACTTTTCATTTCATCATTTTGTAATTTAATTCAGGTTTTACAGTTGTCGAATAAATATTTCTGTAAGAGTTTTGTTTCCCCCAGTTCAACTACTGGGTAAATCATTCTGCGATTTATTGACTTCTGGGAAGAAGGCTTATTGTCAACAATAGAAGGCCTCTGCTATCAGGGTTGACAGCTGTTCTTGTGTTTAATAGTCATCCTAAATGGATGTCAATCTTTTGAATACTGAATGTCATGGTCTTCATTTACTGGGTTTAAAAATAAAATAATGAATTCCAAAATTGAAATACTTCACTTTTTATTTTTAGAAAGCTGATGAGGAAACTGAAGATGTTGATGTGGAAACCTTAAATGGTAATGTTAAACTCCTTTTTATTAAGAATGACTCATTAGTGGTTGCAGAGTATTTTTGGTTGATAAAGAGAGACAAATAAAACTTATTTAGCATTTATTAGTATAATTGAACTAAGGCCTAGTGGCGGTGGCGTGCTTTGTGCTCCCATGCCACACATGTTGAAGTACTATCATCAGATCGTTTACTCGACCTTTCACATCTTCAGTGGGACAAAGAAATAAGTACCAGGCATGTTTGTGAGACTAAATAGAGGTTCAGCATTCTGCTGACCATCTCCAACTCTGTGCCCAAGATTAACAAAACTGGGAAGGCCACTGAGTTTAGTTTGGTTTAATTGAACTGGGGTCTGAAATTTGTAGGAGCCGTATATTACACAAGAGTGTGCAAACGCCGCTCACGTAAAATTTTTCACCATTGCAGAAATTTGTGCCACTTTATTCACTTTTAATGGCATTTTTTTAAATTTTATAACATGGCTGTGTTATTAAAATTATTTTTTAAAAAATTTTAATTTAAAATTTAAAAAAAATTAAAGTTTTTGATTTTTTTAAAAAATGTATTGTATTAAGGCTTTTGTTTAGCAATGCATACGCCAAATTTCTATATGATATACGCGCCAATCGGATCTTCAGTAAAGTGTAATGAAAGAAAAGTATTGTCTCATTATTTATTTGATTTCGTAAATGAATTTTCATGATTTTTGTTTTAACTGAGAGGAAATAAAATGAATTATCACATGATTAATTGATTGAATTCTCTGATAATATTTTTTACATTTTATATGTATGAGTTAATAATTAAATTAAATAACTGTTGATTTTTTATGCAAGTCTTCGCTTCTGATGTTTTTAGCTCCTGATCCTGATGATATGATGATGCATGATCAGCTGGATGATGATGACATTGTAATTCAGAATGACATAAATGATATACCTTTTCCTGATGAAGCTCTTGCTTCTCCAGAAGGTAAATTTTAATATATTTATCTACGTAATTGTTACTTGTAACTTTTCCGGAACATATATAGGTCCGGAACAGGCCTTGCATCAGAAAGGGTTTTGGTTTGAATCCTAGGCAAGGCATGAATGTTCTTTCATTCTCTGTACTATTTGTCCTTACTGCGGGAGCAGCGTTGGCCCTCCTCATAGGGTGCCCCTGAAAGAGTGGATTGGAAGAAAAAAATTCTATAAATACAGTGATTTTGAAAGCGTGCTATAGAGTAGCAGTTTCCAAAAGGTATTCCGCGGGATCCCAGAAGCTCTGAGTGTTGGGACTCTGATTGTTTTTACCAGTTATTATTTTTCTAACCTGTAATTGAATTTTTATTCAATTAATTTTACATTATTTGTTTTTTATTTCTGCATAGCTGCCAACTCTTCTGATTTTTCCAGTAGACTATTGGATTTTGTCAGTTTTTCCTGGTCTACTGGTTTAATAAGAGTTCTCCTGGTTTTTGTACATTTTAGAAAATTTCCTAAAATTCAGTAAGTTTCCTAAAAAAATCCCTATTAAAATAGAATTTTTGCATAAATTATTGCTTGCTTGGAATATTTAAATAAAACTAATACATAATGAAGCGAGCCTCATTTATAAAAAAATCAGGTTAAAGCTTTTTTTATTCTAAAATGCTCAGTTTATTTTTTATTCGTAACTCTCTTTTTAAATTAATTGAAAAAAATCTTTTAACTATCTTTGATGATTAATACCAATTCCTATTCAAAATTAGGGACAAACATAATAAATAACATTTCATGAAATTTATATTATTTTGTAAAATGTACTGGTTTTTTTTTCCTATCCATGTTGGAACACTAAAATTAAGATAAGAACCTGCAAATTCAACTATTTGACATGGACTAGAATTTTAAGACTAGTATTGATAAAACGATATGATGACAAAAAAAAATTCTTCATTCATTCATTAAATATTTTTAAGATAATTAATAGCCTTTTGTTGATTAGCATGCTTGCAATTGCTAATGAAGTTTATTCATTAAGTCTCAAGGTTCTACCAAAAAAACGTCAATCATTTAAGGTTGATGTTCCTGCTTCAAAATGCGTACTTCTGTTTTTAGCACATTTGTCATACTGTAGCAGGTGGGAATTGCTGCTATAGTGTGCCAAAAATTGAAGTAGGAACATTATGACACATCCTCTGGGGTGTTCAATCATGAAAGATTAAAAAATGGTGCGCCAGTAGATTTATATTGCCAAAATTAAACCGAACCTTATTGAAAAAAATTCAATTCTTTTGTTTGTTTGTCTATTTATAGATGGAATCTTATAAATGCACATATTTATAGATGTATAAAAAGTTAAGAGAATGTAGCATTTATTTAATATGACAAATCATTTTTTTATCTTTTTTCAATCTTTGAGATTTTCTTTCCCCTCTTTTTTGCATTGTTTTGTTTTCATTTTCAAAGTATCATTTGAATTTCAAATTTGTTTTACATGAAATTTTGCAAATTCTAAAGATTAAGAATGTTTTAACACTGCTAGTTGCTCTCGTTTAAAACTCTTTTTCATTCAAGTAGCATACATATTATCCAGTTTTTATTGATATTTGTTTTATCCCACGTTTAGTGAAGTGCTATTCTAAATCATCTATCAACATAATGAATTAGTATGTAACCAAAAGAATAAATTGAATGTCCTATCGTATGAAAAGATCACCTGATTTTGATCTTTTAAGAACAATTAATGTAGAAATGTTGTTATTGATATTCCTGAATTAAAAGTATGTAACTTGAATTAGTTGAAAAAAGGCATGTTAAACCTTTTTTTCTGAATCAGCATTAAAATATCTGACTGGATAATAAAGGTTACTGTATTTATCATTGGACTCTTTCAATTAGTTTGAATAAATTAGATACAACTGTCTGAAATTATGTTTAATGTTAAGTTTGAATTGGTATTTTTTTTTTTTTTTTTTTTGAAATTAGGTTTTGAATAATCTTACTTTAAATGGTTGTTTTATTATATTTCTCGTTCTGGTTTATTTTTCAGAAATAGAAATTAAGAAACTTGAGTCACCAGTCCAAAGGACCAATAACTGTATCATTCCTTTACTAGAGGACCACTGATAATTTCATTTACGGTGGTCCGAATCATATTTTCATGATCCTAAGCCAACAAACCACCATTAATTTTGAATCCCTGTTTTTATCTTGTATATATATATTCAAGCATATTTAATGGTTTTCTACTTTTCAATTTATTGTAGGAAACCCTGAAACAAAATCTCAGTCTTCCCATGATGTTCCAATGTGTTCTGAAGATCCTATAGATGAGAATGATCTGCTTATAAAAGACATTAAAAGTCTGGATAAAAACTCGGAAATTACTGCCAGAGTGAAAGCATTTGAGAAAAGGCTGAACCCATTCTTGGACGAAGTGGTAATCCTCTTTTCATCTGTTTAATGAAACAGGATATTCATATATTCTTATAAATTGGTCTTTCATGTAGGATTGTATGTTTCATTTAAATTTTTCTCAAACAAATTATCCATTTTATGAGTATGCCTCTTGGATCTAAGCGTAGATTCACCTATGGGGGTTCAATCAAAAGTAATTTTAAGCCCCAATGCCTATCTGGGTCTTTTTTTTTCATCTCAAGACTTAAATATGTTAGATAAAGATCAAAATTCGTGAAGAGTAACAGTTAATTAACATGTACAGTGCGCAAAATTAAAAGCCAACCATCCTGATTAACTTTTGATCTGATGATCAGGTCTTCACATTCTAGGACTCCATCTTAAAGGTTTGAGGGGTCGACGTCAAATATGCTAACTTCTTCTTCCTAATCCCCAAAATTAGCTGGGCTAAACAATGTCCATGAAATTCATGACCCGGAGGAAGTCGGGCACCAAAAGTGGGTTTTCTAGAATGTCCCTCCTGTCCAGTCCAGGATATGTTGGGGAGAAGCCTGTATGTTGTGGCACCTGGGGCAGTTTAGGAAGATTTTAACACTACCCTCGAAAGAAAGAGACTTAAGGTAGCCGCTGGTAATCTCTGTCTGATCCTTGCTGTTGCACCGAATGTTGAGTGCACCTCCTGGATAGGTGCTCTGGTACCAGTGATGTTTGGGGGTTACGAGCCAGGAAACACTGTCTTCTTTTTTATTTTTCGATGCCAGTTCCATGAAGGTGAGTGAATTTGGACTCGTCAAAGTTTCTTCTGTCGGCGATATCATTGCCCAGAACCCCAACGTGAAAAGGGATCCACTGGAGGTGGACTTCACGCAGTCCTGAGAGGTTTTTAAGTTTGTGCAGTATAGAAGCTCCTGTTTTGTCTCTCACCTTCCTCCAATGCGATAAGTACTGAATGGAACTGAGAATGTCAGAGAGTATCCAGATATTATTGTGATCCTGTAGTGTTAGAAGGGAATCCAGTATCAATAGCAATGAGTTCACTTCTAAGAACTGAGCAGTAATCAGGGTTCCTTTTGGTGATGTTAAATGAGTAATTAATTGATTTCATGTAGACACCGTTGTCAGATGATGATGTGTCGGTCTTGCCAGATGATGCTAACTAATTAGTGCAGACGATATCTTAAGTAATGAAATCAGACACAAAAACGTATTTTCTCTGAACCTTTTAAATTTTTTGCCAGATTCAAATTTCTGCCCCCCCCCAAAAAAAAAAGAATTAGAGGGTAGCCAAAATCTGGGAAATATGTTCCCAGTAGTTTAGTCAGGAGAGTGGTCCAAAGTTTAGACCGCTTAATGCTAAACTTACTTTTTTCGTATTTCACCATATCCCGAGAACTTTTTTATTGAATGGAAACATTTTTGTACACAGGTATTAAATTTGTTTATCCAAAGATAATTTCATGCAAAATGTAACTTTTAGTAAGTATTTATTATTTTTAATTTTATTTAATAATAGTTGAAAATTTTTTGAATGGTAAGGTATAAAATTTTTTACATAATTTTAAAGAATGCAATTTTAAATTGCAAAATACAAAATAGAATAGTTCCTGAAAAAGTCCTGATTTTGTAAAAGTTTATTTTATTTTTTTAAATGTGATTCCTCAGGAATTATCAGCCCGATTTAGCGCAAATTTTGTATTTTACCATGCAGAATTATGTTCTTTAAAATTATGTGAAAAATTGCTTATCTTTTAATTCAATATTTTTTCAACTATTATTAAACTGAAAATAAAAAACAATGAATATTTCCTACAAGCAATTTTTTGCGTAGAATAAGTTCTGTGATTAGTTTAAATTATAATTTGTTAATTGTTATCCTTTCAAGCTTAGCCATAAAATTTCCCACCATTGTGCTCCATTTTAGGAAAAAAGAGAAGCTTTTGACATCAATCTGTATGGATCTAGAATTCTAAATTCTTTTGAATCTTCTGAGACTAAAGCAAGAAAGCAAACCAAAACATTCCGTGATTTCTGTAAAGGAATGGAACAGTGGCAAATTCACAGATACTTCATGGCTCTGTTACCTCTTGTAAGTCTTGGAATTTATTTTTCAGCTTTTGTGTTATGTCTTTTTTTTCTGTTTGATAAATGTTATACTTAATACGGATATCACTCAAGAGTAAAATAAGAGCAACTGTAAACTCCACTCTATCCTCAACTCAAAGGCAATTCAATTCCTCAGTTGGGATTTGCCGATAGGCATGCTTAATTGCTCGTAATAGGGTTACCATTTTGTGTCTCTTTCATGTGATCTTAACTTATGGCTAATACTATTATTTTTTCATGTGATGCTATTATCTGATATTTTCTGAACGATGTTTGTAATGGAAAGACTAGTAAATCATAAACGCTCTAGAATTGATATCCATTTAATTTTATGCATTAACTGAATTAATTTAAAGTATTAACTGAAAATGTAATTCGATTTTCCTCTTTATCAACGTCATTGCTATTTTTATTTAAATTTTTGCAAATGTCATCATGTAGAATTGAAGCGCCATGAAAAGCAAACAATCTAATTGGTCTAAGTGTGAGTTGTTCTTGTTTAGCGAAAAAGTTTTTGTCAGTGGAGAGAAACAGTTGCTGATATTTTGGGCAACTGTGATTTCTATATCAGACGAGAATTTTCGAGCAATTTTGTTGAAAGTGGAAAGTACGATTGTGCTTACGGTTGACTCGACGGTTTTGTTGCTGATAATTTTCATCGTATCATATACCCATTAGGGTTGTATTTATTATAAGTTTTATAAAAATTCTGGAATCTTTCGAAATTTCTTTGCAATTTCCATTTTGACTACTTGGGAAATTTTCTGAAACTAAAATTTAGTTTCTGGATTTTTATTTTCGAAATGACTGCAAATTTTTCTTTTTAAATTTTACGTTTGCTCTATTCTATTGTAATGTGCATTTTGTTTCAATTAAGATGTGGGCCATTTTTTTTTCCAAATAAAATTATTTTTTATGATATTCAATTTGATTTAAAGTTAAAAATCTTTCCAATACTTCTGATTAATTCGAATTAATTCTAATTCTAATTAATTCCATTAATTCTGATTGCTTATCTTTATGAATTAAAATGTTTTAGATTGTAAAAATTGTTTAGTTTTATAACGTAGTAATTGATTATTATTTTTTTTTTTAAAATCTAAGCACTTGGTGTTTTCCTTAATATTTTGATAAATATCAAGTTATGATTTGTGGTATAAATCTAATTTTCTTGTTGAAAAAATTTGAAAGAGTGTAGAAAATTGTTACATTCTAATTTTTTTTCTTTTACAGAGTAATGCTATTTTTTAAAAAATTTTTTGTTCGCATAATATATATATATATAT